CATGAAATTATTGCCAAAAATTTGGGTGCATATGCAAATTTTCTGGGGAAATAAATCATAGTTTTTATTATATTCTTTTTGTGTTTTTTTTTTTTTTGTGATGGAGTCTCGCTCTGTCTCCCAGGCTGGAGTGAAGTGATGTGATCTCCGCTCACTGCAACCTCCACCTCCCAGGTTCAAGCGATTCTCCTACCTCAGCCTCTTGAATAGCTGGGATCACAGGCATGTGTCACCACACCTAGTTAATTTTTGTATTTTTAGTAGAGACAGGGTTTCGCCATGTTGACCAGGCTGATCTCCAACTCCTGACCTCAGGTCATCCACCCACCTCGGCCTCCCAAAGTGCTGGAATTACAGGCATGAGACACCGCGCCTAGCCAGTTTATATCCTATTCTTAAGGGACCCAACAACCTTTAAAATGTCACCTTTAAATTTATAAACCATTCATTTGAGGGCATGTACACGTAGAGGCCCCCAATTCCATTGATATTCAAAAGACCCCAGTCAATGATAGTCTAGTTCAACTGCTCAGATTTAAATTTCAGGTCTGGGAGGCTACTGAATAATTCTATCAACTTACATATTTTTGAAATACGGCTCATAGCTAATAGTTACATCCCAGCTTGCACTGAATTAGATGTTTTGATATGAATTAGATGTAATATGGGGTGGAGTTTAAAAGAAACCAAATTTTGGTGAGAAGGAAATGTTGGAACTAGAACAAACCAAATGTGTCTTTTGGATTGATGAGACAAATGACCAGTATCAACTTCAGAAGGACATTTGTGGGTCAGTGACTCTGTGCAGTCTCTTCTGGAGACACAGCCAAGAACTCTTCCTTTAAAAACGTAATACACTAGTAAGAAACTTGAGGGTATTAAAAGCTATTAGGGTGGGATGGGGAAACTTATGGCAATAACACATCAGCAAATGGCAATGGAAATAACCTTTATATTTTTCAGCTTTCATATTTGGGCCTCTGGTCATCCCTCTGACATTGACAGATGACAGAAACTGTACTTCATTCAGACAATTTTCACAGATATAGCACAGGTCTATGTCAGACTTGTCTTATAGAAAATGCTACTATGTGTTTGAAAATGAGCTTTGTGAGCACCCACAAAATATATTTGAGTGAAAAGAAATATGGCAACTGTGGTTCAATGGAAGGTAGACAACCTTTGAAATGAGAAAGCTTGGTTTGAATATCAACTTTATTGCTTAGAATCTGGGTGGGGCTGGAAAAGAGGAATTTTACTGAGCCCCAATTTCTCTTCCTGAAAATTAGGGTTGTTAGTGCTTAATTCTGGGTTTCCTGTAAGGCTTAGAGGTTAATGTCTAGCTTCATGAATAGAAGGCAACTAATAAATGGTAACTGTTATTATTAATAATATAGAATTAATATAATTTATTTATATGATGTTAGGCAATAAAGTGATTCATGTAGGTGAATTTTGAGGAGTAGAAGCTTTCCTCCTGAAATGCTAAGCTTTTAATTTTTAGTTGTCTAATAGAGAGGTAAGGTAGAATCTCATTGTAGTTTTATTAAAAATGTAAATAAATAAATAATAATTATTATTTTTGTAGAAACAAGTCTTGCCATGTTGCCCAGGCTGATCTCAAACTCTTGGGCTTAAGTGATCCTCCTGCCTCAGCCTCCCAAAATGCTAGAATTATAGGCATGAACCACTTCAACCAGTCCTCATTGTGGTTTTGTGTTTTTTATTTCCCTAATGATTAGTGATGCTGAGCATCATTTCATATGCTGTTGCCATTTGCATTTATTCTTTGGAGAAATATCTGTTCAGATCTTTGGTCTATTTCAAATCAAGTTGTTTCTGTGTTATTTTAGGAGTTCTATTTATAACCTGGATATTAATTTCTTTTATGAGATATATAATTTCCAAATATTTTCTCTGATTCTTCAGGTTGTCTTTTCACTCTCAATATTACTTCTTAATGTACAAATTTTTAAAATCTTTATAAAGTTCAATTAATCAATATTTTTCTTTGGTTTCCTGTGCTATTGGTGTCATATCCAATAAATTATTGCCAAATCTATTGTTGTGAAGCTTTGACTCCATATTTCCTTCTAAAAGTTTTATAATTTTAGGTTTTTGTTTAGATTTTTAATCCATTTTGAGTTAATTTTTATTTATGGTATTAGGTAAGGGTCCAACTTCATTCTTTTGCATGTGGATATCCAGTTTTTCCAGTACCATTTGTTGAAAAGACTGTTATTTCTTAATAGTCTTAACACTCTTGTCAAAATCACTTGACCATGTATTTTATTTCAATGGTTTATATGTCTGTCTTTATGCTAATGCCACACTGTTTCAATTACTGTAGTTTCATAATAAATTTTGAAATCAGTGCATGTTTTCCAGCTTTATTCTGGCTTTTCAGGATTATTGTGGCTATTTGGGGTTCTTTGAGATTCCATATGAATTTTAGGATGGATTTTTCTATTTCTGCAAAATACATCATTGGGATTTTAATGGGGATTGCATTGAAATCTGTACATTGCTTTGGGTAGTATTGACATCTTAACATATTGAGTCTTCTCATTCATGAACATAGGCTGTGTTTCTATTTATTTGTATCTTCTTTAATCTCTTTCAACAGTGTCTTGTGTTTTTCATTGTACAAGTCTTTCATTTCCTTGGCTAAGTAATTTTCTAAGTATTTCTTGATGCTATTGTAAGTGGAATTTAAAAAAATAATTTCCTGTTGAAATCATTAATTGTTGGTGTATAGAAAAGCAACTAATTTGTGAGTATTGACTTTGAATTCTGCTACTTTACTGAATTTGTTTAATAGTTCTGACAGTTATTTTGTGTGTGAAATTTTGAGGGTGTCTATATAAGATCATATCATCTGCAAATAAAGGTAATTTTACTCTTACCTTTCCAAATTGAGTATCTTTTATTTCTTTTTGTTATCTAGTTGCTGTGGGTAAAATTCCCAGTACTATGTTGAATAGAAAAGGCAAATGTGTGTATCTTTGTCTTGTTCCTGATCTTAGAGAAACAGTGTTTAGTCTTTTACTGCTGAGTATGACATTCCCTATGAATTCTCCATATGTGGCTTTTATTATGTTGAGGTAGTTCTTTCTATTTCTAGTTTGTTGAGTTTTTTTTTTTAAATCATGAAAAGGTGTTGAATTTTTTCAAGTGCTTTTTCTGCATTTATTGAGACGATCATGTTTTTTCTCCCTTATTCTGTTAATGTAATAGATTACTTTGATTTTCATACGCTGAACCATTTTTGCATTTCAGGCATAAATCCCACTTGGAGATGGTGTATAATCTTTCTAATATGTTGCTAAATTTGGTCTACCAGGGTTTTGGTAAAGATTTTTGAATTAATATTCATAAAGGATATTAGTAGTTTTCTTTTTTGTAGTTTTTTTTTGCTTTGGTATCAGGGCAATGCTGGCCTCATAAAAAGGGTCAAGAAGTGTTCCATCCTCTTCATTTTCATTGCAATATTTTGAGAATAACTTGTGTTCATTCATCTTTAAATATTTGGTAGAATTCACCAGTAAAGCCATCAGGTCCAGGGCTTTACTTGTGGGAGATTTTTGGTTACTAATTCTATCTCCTTTCTAGTTGATAGTTATGACTATTCAGATTTTTTTATTTCTTATGATTAACTCCTGGTAGGTTTTGTGTTTCTAGGAAATTGTCCATTTTATCTAAGTTATCTAATTTATAGGCATGAAGTTGTTCATAATACTGTCTAAAAGTCCTTTTTATTACTATAGAATCACTAGTAATGTCTTCACTTTGTCTCAAATCTTAGGAGTTAGAGCATTTTCTCTTTTTTTCTTAGTCCATCTGGCTAAATGTTTTTTAATTTTGTTGATCTTTTCAAAAAACCAACGTTTGATTTTATTGATTATACATTATTTTTTTATTATCTATTTCACTGATCTCTGCTGTGATCCTTATTATCTCCTTCCTTCTACCTTTAGGATTAGTTTGTTCTTATTTTACTTCCGTAAGTTATAAAGTTGATTTGAAATCTTCTTGTTTTTTAACATAAGCATTTGTAGCTATACATTTCCTCCTTAGTGTATCCTTCACTGCATCTCATAAGTTTTGGTATCTGTGATTTCAGTTCCATTTGTCTCTAAGTATTTTGTAACTTTCCTCATGAATTCTTCCTGGATTCATTGGTTGTTTAAGACTGTATCATTTAATTTTCACAAGTTTTTGAAATTTCTAATTTTTTTTTCTGTTATTGATTTCCAACTTTATACTGCTGGAGTCAGAGAAGATAATTGTATATTCATCTTTTTAAATTTATTGAGAAAATTTCTGGCCTAATATATGATTTATACAGGCAAATATACTATGTGCACTTGAGAAGAATATTGTTGTTGAGTAGAGTGTTCTGCACATAATTTTAGATCTAGTTGACTTATTGTGTTCTTTAAATTCTCTATTCCTTCTGTCTGATTATTTATTCATTATTGAGAGGAGGATATTGAAATTTTAATAAGTCTATTTTGTCTGATATGAGCATAGCCACTACTCCTATCTCTTAGTTACTTTCTCTATACAGTATATTTTTCCATCCTTTCACTTTCAATCTGTGTATGCCTTTGGATCTTAATTGATTTTCTTTTGGATATCATATAGTTGGATAATATGTTTTTATTCATTCTGCCAATCTGCCTTTTGATTAGAGTTAAATCCATTTATACTTCAATTGATATCTGGTAAAAAGAGGATCTCTTTCATTTTGTTGTTTGCTTGCTACATGCCTTATAGCCTTTTGTCTGTCACTTCTCAACTTAATGTCTTATTTTGTGTTTAATTTTTTTTATAATAAAATGTTGAAATTCCTTTTGTGGATATTTTATTGGTATTGTTGTTTGTGGTTACCTTGGAGATTACATTAAACATCCTAAAGCTATAGCATTCTAATCTGATTTTATACCAGCTTAACCTCAATAACATATGATGATTCTTTAATAGCTCCATTTAGCCATTTTAGTAGTATGCACAAAATTATATGTGCATACATGTAATCATAAAATTATATGTGCATATATCATGTGCCACAAAATATAAACTAATAATACTTTTAAATGTACTAATTTCTTCAACCATGTGTAAAACAAGATGTGCAGTTACAATAAAAGGTCATAATACTACTTGCTCTTAGACTAATAATTTTTTAAACATATTAGCCTCTTAAATCATATAAAAAAGTGAAGTTTTAAGTCATATTAAGATAATATTAGCTTTTATAATTGTCCTTGTATTTATTTTTATTGATATCTTATTTCTTCATATGGCTTTGAATCACTGTCTTGATTTTTTTCATTTTACCCTACAGAACTCCTTTGAGTATTTCTTGCAAGGCAGGTTTAATGGTAATGAACTCCCTTAGCTTTGTATATCTAGGAATGCCTTAATTTTCTTCTCACTTTTAAAAACAGTTTTGTTGGATGTTGCTGAATTCTTGGTTGATTTTTGTTGTTGCTTATGTTTTGTTTTGCTTTTAGGACTTTAAATATATTGGCTGACTGCCTTCTGGTCTCAAAAATTTCAGATAAGAAATTTGATAATAATATTATTGAGGGTCCCTTGTATGTGAAGAGTTGTTTCTCTCTTGTCACTTTCAAGATGCTCTCTTTGTCTTTGGATTTTGGAAGCTTAATTATATTGTGTCTCAGTGTGAGTATCTTTGAGTTCATCTTACTTGGATATTGTTGAGATTGTTGGATGTTTATATTGATGTATTTTATCAAATTTGATATATTTTCAGTCATAATTTCTGAAAATATTTTCTTCTCTTTTCTCTTTCTCATTTCTTTCTGGGACTCCCACAATGCATATGTTAGTCTACTTCATCGTGTCCCACAGGCTCTTAAGGTTCTGTTCACGTCAATCTTTTTCTTTCTGTTCCTCATACCTGTTAATTTCTATTGTCTTATCTTATTGATTTGTTGATTCTTTCTTCTGCTTACTCTAATCTGCCTTTGAATCTGTCTAATAAGTCTTTCATTTCAGTTATGGTGCTTTTTACCTCCAGAACTTCTTTTTGGTTTCTTTTTAGGTTTAATCTTTATTGCTTTTTCTATTTTGTTCATACAACATTTTCGTGATATCCTACATATTTTCCTATAGTTTTTTGAGTACCTTTAATCTAGCAGAACTGCTACAGGTCTTTTTTTTTTTTTTGAGACGGAGTTTCGCTCTTGTTACCCAGGCTGGAGTGCAATGGCGCGACCTCGGCTCACCGCAACCTCCGCCTCCTGGGTTCAGGCAATTCTCCTGCTTCAGCCTCCTGAGTAGCTCGGATTGCAGGCATGCACCACTGTGCCCAGCTAATTTTTTTGTATTTTTAGTAGAGACGGGGTTTCACCATGTCGATCAGGATGGTCTCAATCTCTCGACCTCGTGATCCACCTACCTCAGCCTCCCAAAGTGGATTACAGGTGTGAGCCACCGTGCCCGGCCTACAGGTCTTTTTTATGGACAGTTCCTGTTTATTTATTTTTTGTCCCTTTGAATGAGCTATACTTGCCTATTTGTGTGCTTCTAATTGTTTTTGTTGAGAACTGGACATTAGAATCTAATAATGTAGTAACTCTCCAAGTCAGATTCTCCTTACCCAGAGTTTGATTTTTTTTATTGGTTTTATTGTTGTAGTCTGCCTCTGTGGCAAAGATTAGTCTAAGGTATAAACCTAAGGTTTTGTCAGCTCTTTTCTGATCCTGTGCCTTTCCCTAGTCATGCATGATCATTTTCTAATTTTCCCCGTATATGTAGTTGCTTTTCAATGTCCTGCGATTCAGTGTCTGGCTTCCAAATGAGAAAAAGAAAAATAAAGCAGGGAACCAAAAGAGGAGCACTTATCCTTTAAATTCTTTGGAGTCACTTCAGCCAAAAAGAGTGAGAATTGCAGTAAGAGATTGTGGGGGTGGTAAAACAATGTAGACCCCTCCCTTTCGTCTGTACTTCTGTGATCAAAAGAAGTAGTCAGCAATGAGAGCACAAATCCTTACTAGTTGAAGGATAGAATTTTTTGCCCACCCTGGCTTCCTTAAGATGTATGCACATTGCTCCAGGATCATATGCACAGTTGCCTGTTACAGGGCTGGTGGTGAGAGTGGGTAGGTGCTGTGCTAAAAGCTGAATTAATCTGTAACTAAGCAGCCGATTACCCAAGCTTTCCCCTAAAAGCACGACTCCATAATTCCAAAATAATTACATTAACAGATTCTGCCAGTGCAATTGTTGTCTATGTGTGGACACAGATTCCTGGTGTTTCCTATTCCACCATTGTCCCAGAATCCTCTCCAGAGTGGCTACTTTTGGGAAAATCTTAGCTTCATTTTTAAATGATCATTCTTATAAGAAAGAAACATGCAGAACTTTAGCTTTAAAAAGTGAATGTATATTGTAGAGAAACAGACATATTGGGCAAACTACTTCTGTTGACGAGACCGTTTAAGGGTGGTCTCTCTTGGATAATTAGACTTGCTTCCTGCTCAACCCCACAATTTGCTGCTGTATCCTCTAATCCATCACATGTTGTGGTTCCCCCTTGAAGAGCTAGAGCAAGCCTATCATGTTATATCTGAGTGTATTCTGAAGCATTGGTGCTCAAGTTCTATTTCTCAGCATTTGAGAGTTCCATAGGAGTGATCTAGGGGGATGTGATTAGTAAGAAAGTGGCCAAGAAGTCAGAACTACCCCTCTTTTTACTTCAATAAGAGTAACTAAACTAGTATCTGTTTAAATAACAGGATTTCATATTAGATTTCATTTGAAAAGGAGGCATTCTTGGCTTAATAACATCTGAGAAGTTAAGTGGAAAATGCTTTATCCAGTAAATATTTGTTCTGGAGAAGGTGGGAAAATTACCACAATAAAATCTGAAGCTAGTAACAACATTCACCATCTGTCCTCCTCTGTCATTTCTAACTAAAGGAACTCAAATACTAACCCCTGAAGAAACCACCTGTGATCATTCCAACACATAAGAATTTTTCTTGCTTCTTTTTCTGATTTCTGATGGAGACATCATTACATTGGACAAGCTAGGTTGATGGCTATAACAAGCAACTCCAAGTCTCAGTGGCTTATCACATTATAAAGATGATTTCTTTTTTAGGCAAGTTTCAGAGCCAATATTCTTGGCCTGGTGGCTCTGTTGGCTGCTCTTCTCAATGAGGAACTTGGATCCTTCCATCTAGGCATCCTGTAGGCCCACTCAGAGGCCTCTGATGGAGACTCTGCAGTCAATAGAACAAGAAGTGATAGTGTGAAGATTTCACTGGGCATTTGAAGAGCCAGGCTTAGAATTGACATATTTGACTTTATTCCACATCCTATTGGTCATCATTAGACATATTGGCTCATGCAGATACAAAGAGAAATAGGAAATGTAGAATTCTTTGGTGACCAAAAGGAAAATAAAATTATTTTTTGAACACCTATAATGATCTTTTCCAATGCCATTAACTCACCCTTGTCCGCATACTGCCTTGGGGTACAATTTCCTGTGTGTTCACCTTAAATCTTCAACTAGATTGCAAACTCCTAAAGGTAGGAGTTATGCTTTATATGGTACTACTTGGAATCCTTAAATTACCCAGATGGTCTAAACTACTATAAAAACAAACTCAATGATAATTTAATACCTTAAAGAATATACACTTTTTTGGCCTCAAAATAGCCTTGGGAAGGTGTTACAGTTCAGCAGCAGCTCTCATCACTAGGCCATATTTCTGGGATATAGACTAATGCAACTTTATTATCGTTAGGGTTACTTTGGGTATGGCCATTCCAGCCAGCAGAAAGAATGAAACAGTATAGAGAATATGTGTGCAAGTTTCAATGGATCAAGCCGGGAAGAAGCACATACCATTTTCATTCACATTCCACTGGTAAGAACTCAGTAACATGACCATACCATACTATAAGAGGTAGGAGGATTAGAAATGTAATTTTTAGCTGGATAGCTAACTCTAGTTACAACTAAGTTGCTATGGAAGAAAAGGATAATGAATGTTGGTGAAAAATGTCAACTTTCCCCACAGAGGATGAGGGAAATTTTGTTCAATTCTAACAATTCTTCAAATAGGTATTTTCATTCCCTCTTTCTGAGGTTAGAACTGAGATTGAGAGGTGTACTAATAGGTTCAATGAGACACAACTAATAGGTAGTAACGCAGGGAGTTGCAGCCAGTTCTTCTTGCTCAAATTCCCTTCTTATATTCTATACTACCCTGTGTCTTGCCTATGAAAGTGATCCCTTACAATTTGATCTCATTTTCTGTCTTAATTCTTCTTAACCCTCTTCTTTCTACTTCCCTTGTCGTTTTCAAGTGTAATGATACACAAAAAGCGATTCCTGTTGGCCATTCAACAGTGTGCTCCGAAGTACGTGGTTCTGGGAAGGCAGAAATGTAAATTACACCAGACTCTTCCTTCAACTTTGACACGTTCTATTTTTATTTTGTCATAGTCAATTGGCTATAACACGTTTCTCATTATGGTTGTCTAGAATGGTGAACATATATCTACTAAATACTGATTTCTCTAGAATAAGCGGTGGAAGGACAGAATATTCAGTTCTTGCCCACACTGAGAAATGTGAAATTCACAGTTGACAGTGGATATTTAGGGAATGCTAAGGAAGGAACACCAAGGAAGCATATTCTTGATTATGCTGTTTTTCTTTGCTGGTATTTTGTTGTTGTTTGTTTGTTTGTTTGTTTTAAATTCTCTTAGTGAGAGGGTTTTTTTTTTCCTTTGGGTCTCATTCTGCTGCTATGGAAAGTTCTGTCGTAAGTCATAACACAATACAACAGGGGGATAGGGATTAATTAAGCAATGTTGGGCTTAGTTTGTAAGCCCAGCATTCCAATCTTTCAAAGATGTGGTATTTTATAGATGGACCTAATAAGAAAGCAAAGAGGGACAAGAGAAACTCTCTCAATCTCTCCCTCTCTCTTTGACGAGCATATGCAGCTACACACACTCATTCACACAAACATACTTTTCAAGTCACTGTATTTAGGAGTCTAAATACACATAAAAATAGCCTTGATTCAGAGATAATTCTGTCATTTACTAGCTGTGATTGATTCACTCAACTTTTCTAAGCCTCAGTGTTCTCATTCATAAAGGGGGATACCATTTGCACTTATTTCAGAGTAGTTTTATAATGTTTTAATCATACATGTAAATTGCTTATTACATTTTAACTGTATTATTTTTGTTCCTTAAGTCCAAAATGTCTAAAATCTTCTCAAACCTATACCATTTCAGACTACTGAAAAGCTGCATGGGCTGTTTTTTTTTTTTTTTTAAATACAAAACTATTAGTTTTGCATACTTGTTTTTAACATTATAATTTTAGGGTCTCCATATTCTTTTATTCAAGCCACATTTAGCCTGAATTCATCAGAATATAACTAAAACAATTGTCCATTTATTGTTCCAATAGTTGGCCAATTAGATACTATTGCATATATAACTATCTGGTAATGCAGTGGTTTTATGAAATTCCACAATCTTGAAATAAAATTTCCAATGTTTTGATTCTGAGTGGAATAAGAAGACGGGCCCATGGGCTTCTCATGGAGGAGGTCTTTGTTGGAACCCAGATACCACCACCATTAATTAGGCAGAATGAAGAAGAAAGATGCCAAAACCCCCAGATAATCTTAGAAATTTCCCATATGTAAGTTCTTATGTCTGTTGGAAATAATAGAGATTTATTCTGTTTGAGATCAAATTTCCACTAATGCAATGTTGTACACTGTTGGAGAAGATTAGTAGGCTTCACAATTCATAGCAATGTTCTTTCTTTCCAGAAGGCTGAAGGGTGTTGACAATGGAAAGTTTTTTAGAGTGACTAATGCTCTTCGTGAATAAACTAGATCCTTAAGTCTTCCTCTAAAGGCTGGAAATCTTTACCAAAACCTCTCTTAGGAACACGGATGTAAGTTTTTCTTAAGGTCCTCACAAAAAACCTAGATTTTCAAGTTAGATCTGAGATCCACTTTCAACTAAAGTACATTGGGACCCTTCTATCTGCTGAGTCTTTTCTTAGGAGCTTTTAGATCCTTCATGTTGTTGTCTTCACTGATTATATGTTCTAATCAGATGGCTCTACTGATGTATCATTTACTTTGCAAATTGAAACATACCACTCTTTTCCTTTGATTACCTGTTGTAAACCATCCTTTATGTACATTAGAAAAATCACAAATTATTTTGTCGATCCAGACCTCATAAAGGAAAGATCGACTTGTTGATGTTTGAAGACCATTTCAAGCAGCACAGTTCACTGGTTTGCTGTAAACTTCAGGCTGCTTCAGGGCTTGCAGTGCTAAAGTTCTTAGGTTTGACTTTCAAGGGAGCTGATACCCCAAGACTAGAAGCATTTGTGAAACAGAAGGAATGAACAATAAAGCAGAATATAAACTTGGCTTAGTTTTTCTTTCTGCATCATTTGAAATATATCTTTAGCTACGTAAAAGGGAAAAAATTAAAGACAGACAAGGATCCAACCTCTTATGTTATTTCAGTGGAGAGGAAAGTGTGGAGACTTTACTGCTCTACCAGTTTAGCAGAAATACTGGAAGTCTGTCGATCAACTGGAGGATTCTTTCTTGTCGTGGCTTGTTTTGGAGCTGGTACAAAAGTTGATAGTCTTAGCCCTGTTTAATTTATGTAGCTTCAGAAAGAAAGGTTGTCAGGGCCCACATGATGAAGAAAGAGGAAGAAAAGCAAATGAGACGGGGACAGGTCTAAACCTCCTCCAGCGGCATTGTCATCCTGCTTATCAGGTAAGAAGAAAAACAGATTAAAGCAAGTTCTTTGTTTCCAAATTCCAGGCTTGCAAAGGATGTATTATGATATTCATTTCAAAATATGGTTACATCTTGAAAGCATTTTTGTTAGAAAGGCATATTATCTTTAACAATGAAGCAAGGAAAAAAGCTTGGTACATTACTGTAGACTCTTAAAATACCTTAGCAGATCTTACTTTATATATATCTTTTTACATTAGCATTCAAAAATCCTTGGCAAGAACAATAGGAATGGTTCAAAGTTCAGTTCATAATCATAAACAGACTTCTCCTCCATTTCCCCATCACGGTTTTAGTTTTTATGAGTGTATTTGGAGGGGGTGGAGAGAAGAGAAAGGGGTCACATTTAAAGATTTCCCCCGTCTCTTCCCCAGGATGAGCTCTAATTTTATAATAGGATAGTTTTATTCAGAGTTAACTACTTTGGTTTTGGTTCTGAATGATAATCATAGAAAATATAAAGTAACATTTTAAAAGCTCAGACTGTGAAAGAAAGGAATAGTACAGCTTAGTAAAAGCATATGTTGCTAGTGGGACCTCACAACCACATTCAAATTACGTTCTTGCCAAATCACGTTATGTTTCTAAAGCTCCTTATTTAAATTTCCCAAGTGAGGTTCATATGGCATGTTCTGTGTTTTTGCTATATACTATTGAAGGGAGGTCCTTAGAAATCTTTCCCCTTAAGAACCAACTTTTTCTTTTCTAACTAAAGGTCCTAATTAAACCTAGTTTACATTTATGGGATACAGGACTCCATGCCACCGACAACAACAGAAAAAAAAAACACATCTGCTCCTGGCACTGTTGGGATTGTAATAATGGCCCGTGGAGCAGTGGAGCAGCAGTGCCTACAGTCAGCGCCTGCCAACATTTGCTGTGGCTATATATGGAGGAGTTAGGTTCCATCAAGATCAGCATTTGCAGGACCTCGAAATGCCATTTAATCAAGTCCCAGTCTCAAAGAAAGAATGCATTAAAATCACTCCAGGGCTATATGTATTCTTTTCTTTAAAAGATTAAAAATACGAAGTCATTGCGTTTCAGTGCTTTACAAAATCTGGAGTAAGGAATTCATCGTGAAGTTGAATGTCTCCAGTTTATGTATATGTTTGCTCTCACATTTCAAGACAGTTTCTCTGTAGCCTTCTGTTCTGTTCGGAAAGACTGATTCTTTTTGGTCTCTTTTAGGCTTAGCTTAATCATTATTTATGATTGCAACAGATCTCCTTTGGTACTTCTGAGTTATTTACAACTTAATTATGTCTATCACTACAATGAATAAAATAATTTTTCTCCTCTCCTCCCTATCATCTTAATACTGTTTACCCATCTGAGCATAAAAGCAAACCACACAGAATATTTGGCTTGAATTAAGCTTGGAACTATTATGACATAGAGGTCTTTCT